TATTTAGACGACTTACTTGTTTGTTCAGTTGATCGTCTCATTTATGTAATTGTTAAAATAATAATAAAATTCAATAAGAAACGAAAAATTTACTGTAATTGTTTAACATGAGAGCATTAATGTTCAAATGTAGTGTGTAAATTAAAGTATGATAAAGTAGTAGTTGAATAAAAGAATCAAAAATAAATGCTGAATAAAACAATGTGGTGTGATAAAATTAACCTTAAAACAACCTACAGAAAAAGCAGTGAACCAAGAGATGTGGTGAAATCAAAAACACGAACTTAAAATTAAAAATAAACGCCGTGTACTAAAAAAAAAACGCAATTTAGCCAAAAAAAATCTAACGAAAGAGTGATAACTTAATATACCTAAACCCAGGTGTGGAAGTTGCTGGATGCTCAATGCGCTGGGGATGCTGGTTTTATTAGCTTTCGGGGATGTAGCGCAGATACTGGTGATAGATTGGTGAGTTGGCTTGGTGCAGTAATGTGTTGTGATGAAGTGTAATGGTATGATGTGGTGACTGGATGTGCTTGCGGTCCTGCCTAGACTAGGACGGACGAAGTATCTGGATGCGCTCTGACGTGTAATCTTTCCCCCTTTTGATTGGGATTCGGGCACTTTGGCTGGATGATTTGGATGTTGTTACCGGTGTATTTATGTGTGTGTGTGTGCTAAGCTTCCAAGTTGTAATTTTGGACGCTGGTGCTGGAGTGTGGACGTATGTGTGTGGCCTCGTAGTGGGAATAATGGCCGTCCGCTCGAGTGTGGCTGGGTGTAGTCCTTCTCGTAGTGGATTTGTCGCCGGTCATTGACGCGGGCGTATATTTCGCCGACGGGGCACTTAGCGTCACTCTTTATATCGTTAGCGCGACCCGGGTTCAGCAAAAATTTAGCACTTTCACTTTTTTTTTGTTTGTAACTTAAACTTTTTAGGCCTCCGCGTTAGAGCAACTTCAGCTTTCAACATTGACTTGTTCAAAATAATCTCGCTTCACGCTTCTGCTGGCTATTTAAACATTTTTCTCAGCCTTTGTTTTGTTACGGTGATTCTTCAGTTATCCTTTTGTTTACGCCACACACATCCACAC